ACATACATACATACATACGGACATACATACATACATACATACATACATACATACATACATACATAAGTACATACATACATACATACATACATACATACCTACATACATACATACATACATACTTACTTACATACAGACATATATACGTACATACATACATACACACGTGCTTGAACCTGTAGTAATTAACAGGATTGTGCCTTGTCCAATTTTTAATATGACGTTCATTACATCAACCACTTTAGCTGTGGGACGGATGCTAAGACTGGGCTTCCCATAAGTGAGTGGTGGAGAAAAGGTCCAGGGGTACGTTCGTACGAGTGCGATGTGTTTGAGGGCGAGAGTGCCTCTGTCGATGCTGTACAACAAGCATGGGATGCTCAGGGGCCTTTTGATGGAATTTTAGGGTTCTCACAAGGGGCTATCCTGCTGGCCGGACTTGTAGCGCAGGTATGTCTACAATAACCACTCGAACACTCGAACAGGCCCATTTCGATTAGTACCCTTATTTTGTGTATAATAGGAGGTCGGTAAATGCAATACAGAGCTGCACGTTGCTAAACAGTTCATGTTTGCTTCCTGCAGTCTATGGTGGACCCTGATTATCCAATTAGGCCCAAATTTGCCTTTCTCTTCGGAGCTGCCTACCCTAAACCCTACGACAAGACACTACGGGCGTTAAAGGTACTGTTGCTGTTCGCAATCAATCTTCGAATCATCTCTTACACGTTTGCATTCAAGGTAGTGCTATGTGTCTGGGTGGAACACATAGTCTCCTGATGTGTGTTTCCTGTAGCAAAGTTGTTTTCAAGCATTCTGATTATCTAGTATGTTTTCCGCGGTAGCAGTCGCGTAGGTGTATGTCTCGTTAATACGTGAACCGCCCAAACCCAATCAATGTGCGGTCCTTTGCCTGTATTCGATTTTCACCTTTGAAGATCGATTTTAACTCCACTCAGGCGAAAGGCTTCCTTTATTTTGTCTGAAGGGATTGTATGCTCGCTTTATCAGCTTTATAGTAGCGGCTATCGTGATGCATATACTCATACGTTCGAACTTGTCGCCCTGTGTTGTAACTACAGGCCACCGATGGGTCTAAGGTTGCCACCTTCCATTCATATAGTCCGGAAGTGGACAAGATCAATCCTCCAGAGCAAGCGGCGGAGATTGCATCACTTTTCACAGAACCCAAAACCATATACACACATGAGCATGGTCATCGAATTCCCAACGATGACGCGGCATGTGAGGCGTACCGAACTTTCTTAGCTGAATTATAATGAGAGCGGGGAAAATTGAAATTTTAGACTATATATATATATATTAATACAATATATATATATATATGTATATATATATACAATATAT